GCCAGGAGGCAAATAATTTTCTTGAACAGCATGTGAAGGTGTGGATGTCATTCTGGGATTCTTCCCTTGCCATTTTGCAAAACGCATGTGTGCGTGTGTGTGTTGAGGGTACCCCTTGTTCTGTTGCTTTAAAGGGACATCCAAACGCTCACACCAGTGTTTTTGTTTCCAATTCTGACATCTACCCACATGAGCAGCGCCCAACCGTTGATCGGCACTTCGTTTCAGAAAGACTAAAGTTAAAGTAAGGCCGGCATCAACTGTTATATATGTTGGTAGAAGCAACCGTCAATGGCTGTTGGGTAAACAAGGCTGCTTACAAGACTGTGTCAAGCTCTAGCGACATCTTACTCCCTTGACTATATATAGATATATTATAGCCCCTAGGGGCACGCAGATTGACATGGGATGCTTGAAATTGATAGCTTCCACCAGTTCAGGTGAGCTTGGTTGAAGAAAGAGTCCACTGGCCAACATTGACGCCTTGCTCAGGAAGTGCTTATGGGCTGCCCCTTCTTTAAAAAGCTGAACCTGGACTCCCGGGTACAGCGCCGGCTCTCCAGCATCGCCACATGCCCGGCTCTCGGGATTCGGGAGGGAGAGTCGTCGGGTTTCGCAAAAAATAGGAAACGCGGCCGAATGATAGGGTGTCCTTTGGGTTCCCATTTGAATTCCAAGCAAAACGGGTCCAATTAAGAAAAACAAAAAACTCCCCATTGGTTCGGTCGAAGTTACTGCTCTATGGTTCATTTCGGAGGGACAAGAAGGGGACTCATTGAATTTCAACCGCACAAGCCACGGTGCGAGCCTTAGTTTGGGAAACAAGCAGTCCTCACCGTGGCTCACGCCAGCCCCAGTGGATCTTCAGCAGGTGGCCCAACCTATATGGGATTTTGGTGAACCCCGGTTCGGTTTCTCTTATGTTGTAACTTGGTGAGTGTGACTAATGTCATCATTTTTACCCAGAGAGGGTGAACATTGATCGGTAGCCAGTCAGCTCGGCTGCCAGTGATTGCTGATGAGATGGCGAGCAACACGCCCATGGGTGGAAACCTATGGCCCCCACCGCCGCGCGGCGCCGCCTTTGAAAGGTCCCTGAAAAAGAGGCGCCCGTCATTTTAACGGCGACGCGACCCTGCACCGTGTTTTGCAGGAGAACATGTTCACAGTATTTTCCCTCGTTGGTCCACTCGCAAAGGTGTAATTTCAGAAGCGGCAAGGAAGCCTTCGCTCCTCCAGAAATCTCAAAGCAGCAAAATTAGATAGGTTCCAATGTTGTTTCATCCCAATGTCGTCTTAAACACAGGAATGGTTCATTTGCCCAAAAGGAGAACTCCTGGATTTATGTCTATACTTTACGGTAAAACACAAAACCACAGAAGCCCTGAAGCCAGACCATTTTCCGCAATAGAGGATCTAAGCCAATCGACTGTAGTGATGTTCCTTCCCGATTCCTTTGAGACTCAGCCAGCACATCATTGCTTGTTGGCAAGCTCCTACTTGCTGCTAGAAAGTTTTGAGCGATGCTTTCCTTGCGCTAGCAGGAGCATATATTTGCTGCCTGTGTGTAACTAGTTCCACACGCACATTCCCAAAAGAGACAAGGATTATTGGACAGGCCAGATTAAACAACTGGTTGGGATAGCCATGCTTTAACAGGAATCTGGCCAGAGGAGTGTTAGAATCCATATTTTTCGATGGCTTCCCGATCACTGCGGATGCTTCCGCGTATTTGCGAACACTCAAGTGTGGTCGCCTTTCACCTTGCGGATGGCCCCAAAAGAAAAGGTTGCTCAGCAAGAAACGGGGCCATTTACATGGTTTCGGACTAGGCCTGAAGATCAGCAAGGGCACGGTGCTCTTTCGGCAGGGCGACCCTCCAGGAAATTGCTACGTGCGACTTGGACTGGACCTAGCCGTTGCAGGCGATTCAGATCTGTCAGAGAGGAGCCCTGGTGGATCCTGTGGCCATTGTCAAAGCCGTCTTGGGTCAGCCTTGTTGTCATTGTTGCATTTGTATTTGCGTGGATTTCCTGTTGGGAGACTCAAGCCTCGCAGCAGCCTGTTTTCACTTAAGCACTTGGTCTCAGGTGCTGAGTGTGTCTCTGACAGCCTTGTCCATTGCGGCTAAGGATCTTGGAGGGCTCAGTGGGCATCGCGGCTGCATCGGTTGCTTGCGAAGCCGTGCAGTTGGCTGCAGTGCATCAACGCGAACAACTGACGAAATCATGGCGGTCTTTTGCTTGGGGAGGACATGGGGGGCTCACCCAAATCCAGGGCCAGCAAACTGTCCCATGTCCTGTGGTGCACGCTACAGATTGTCAAAAACACAGTGTGAGATGCATATGGCACATCCAAGGTATCTATGCTCGCACCTCAGCCCGACGTGATGTCATCCATGACAAGATTTGCTACCGGGATGGGCTTCCCGATTGTTGGCAAGCCAACCCTAAGCCCAACCGAATCCTGTCAGCATCTAGTGCTATATGGCTGTGGGTCAAAACCAACGGTACCATTTTGGGGTAGGTCCCATTTTAGTCTATTTTTAGTTGGGATTGGGATGTTCACTGGGGGTAAGGGATTTTGACCCAAAGTGGATCAAGTCTAGCCAAAGCTTAGGCCACGCTGCACACCGTGTGCGGTGTGGCGGTCCGAAGGCGAGTTGGTTCCTTGGTAGGTGAAGCTCCGGGTATGGGGGATGACAGAAGCGAACGACTGTGGCGCATTCAAGCCAAAACTAGTCAGCCCACTATTCGATCTGCGCATTTTTTTCGATCACGAGTACAATTTGCTCTGCAGAAGCGTAGAGCAACTCCGGGCATAATTACCTGAGCAAGGAGTTGTGCAGACGACTAAAGCCATACGCACACTGAAATGAACTGGATGAAATTGGCGCGATGCAAGGCCCTGTAGCAAAAGACTTGATGTCATGCGCACTGCATGTCCAGTTTGTTCAACAACTATACAATCGCAGTCCATGCTGCCACAAAGACCGTCCGGGCGACACCTGCCACTCATGCAAATTCAGTCCCAGAATGTAGCCTTTAGAGGAGGATGTCCATTGCCACTCTATCAGCATCGTTTGCAATACAGAGGCTCCAGATTCGATGCAGCAGGTGCGCCATTCAATGCAGCTCAGCTTCTCCTTCCCCGCTGAGGTCAAACCAGACGAAGAAACCAAAACTGGCTATGACTCGAGAGAAGGCCAGATGCTTGGATTTTGGATGATGCCAGACTTGATCGTTGTGCCACGCAAGAGACAGGCTTCACTTATTTCTCTGTGGACAAAAATTGGCTTGCAGTATGGAGAGCAGCTACCATTAAGGAGCCACATGACACTCGTCGGCGTGATAGCATGGAGCATGATTGTGACGTGTGATCTGTGAATGAGCGCATAGAATGTTGGGGCAGGTTCAGTGCATGTGAACAAAATCTGGGTAGGCAGTTTCTGGCGCCTTTTTTGGGCTGTGGTCAGGGGTGCTTCTGGACGAGGTTTGTGTTTTGGGTGGCTGGTGTTAAAACCCGCCCCAAATATCAAACGGCTAAGGACCACCACTAATCTTTAACAAGGTAAGGTAAGTTCTTGTTTGTGCAAGATATTCCCCCAATTCCACACGTCGAAGTCCTCAAGCACACAGAAAAGAAAGACTGCCATCGATCCATGGATCAAGCCCGTTTCTTGCGAGGGTTTCTGTCCCCGATTTCTCCTGTCCGAGGTTGCTCACCCAAGATTTTGGAGGAACCTGTTTAGGGAAAGTGGTTGCCAGCCTTACATTTTTTACGCGATACCAAATATTTCCTCGGCCGCCTCTTTCTGTACCCCCGATTCATCCAGGTTTGTCTTCCTGTGGCCCTCCAAACTTGGCGACCAAAAGTACCACCCATGGGAGCTCTGAGCCGCCAGGCACCCCCCGCCTGGGGGAGACACTGCGCCTGGATAGAACCGAAGCTTTAGGCGCCTCAGCCCAAAACCGATTCCAAAATTCCAAAAGGGCAATGTTGGCAATGTTAGTAGCTTCTACTTCCTGGTATCAAGCAAGGTAGTAAGGCCAACTTAAACCCTCATCTTAAACCCAGAAGTCGATGGTTTTTTGGTCGCTCATGTGAGTCACAAGCAACACTGATTCGGGGAAGTGAAGGTTCGCGACAGTCCCAGCTCTCGATTCTTTACATGATGTGGAGTAGATCCCTTTACCAGGTTTTGAGTATCACTCAAGTCAGGAAGTTTGATGTTCAGGGTTCCATGTTTTGACCAGCCCCAATGCAGATTCAAAAAGGGTGGGTTGATCCAGCCAAAATAAACATGCCAGTTAGCTTATTTCAATGAGGAACACCTGTTTTCCTAGCCTTCGCAAGAGAACACCATTGTTTACCTGCAGCTTCACCTTGCCACATATGAAGCTTTTGAAGTTTGAAGAGCATTCATTTGAACCTGTGAGTTGCCTTGCTTCACCAAGATTAGCTGTCACAATCTGCCAGACTTGCCGCAAAAGTCAACACTGTGCATTGTGGCTCTTTAAGCTTGTTTTTGTGTGCGTGTGTGCGCGTGTCAGTGTGTGTGTGTGTGTGTGTTTGTGTTCGTGTTTGTGTTCGTGTCTGCGGCTGCGTGTTTGTGTTTTTGTGTGCTTGTGTGTCTGTGTGTTTTTGTTTGTGCGTGCGTGTTTGTTTGTGTGATTATGTGTATTGTTTGTTTGCTTGCTTGCTTGGCTTGGCTTGGCTTGCTTGCTTGCTTGCTTGCTTGCTTGCTTGCTTGCTTGCTTGCTTGCTTGCTTGCTTGCTGTTTTTTTTTTTTTTTTTTTGTCTTTGTGTGTGTGTGGGATTTGTCTTTGTATGTATGTTGCTTTGTGTTTGTTTGGTTTTGTGTGTGTGTGGGAAGTAACTTTGAAGACGTCTTGCCGAGAGAACGCTCTGTCTCAGTCAGGCTTGATTGCACTTGGTAGATCGACTGTGCAGCCTGAGGCATGTTTGGTTGTCCCTCTGGCTTTTCAGAAGCCTGCACATTGAGATTTACAAGTCAGTTGTCAAATTTGCCCATGGTGTGGCCAGTTCCTTTGAATCAAGTGTATTGCGACCTTCGATTAGCGGCGCTTGGTGAAAAAAGATGAGAGTTCAAAGAACACGGAGCAGCGCTTCGCGTTTGCCTTCTCAGGGCCCAGTTGCCTGGGTGTAGGATGGTGCCCTTTTCTCCCATGAAAATCCACTGGGCTTCTGGTGTCATGTTTGCCAGGCCAGACAGATGTGGTGCTTCTCGGCGTGAGAAAGGGGATGAGCTCGCGCAATCGTCGGCCTAAACAATACTGTTTCAATAGGATACTCATGTTATATGAGTATATCATCCACAAAAACATATATAGTGATCATGCCCATTCATTCGTTCCTCACTTGATCGACACATGGATCAGTGAGAATGAAGAATGTCCAATGTAAGCACATTTGATCCTAGGGCGACACGGTTCGTTTGAAAGTTGCCGCGTGCTACTTCTAGGCGGAATCACAATGCTCCGAGGTCTGACTCGCTGTCTGAGTGCGAGAGGGAGTCGACCATGTCACTTACGAGCCTCAGAGAAGAGTGGCGCAAATCGTTTCAAGGCAGAAAGAGCTGCAAAGACTTCTTGGGATGAGTCAAAACTGGTGGACCCCTTTTTGGGTGATGGTGAAATGGAAACCAAAGGAACCACCCATTTTTTGGGTCCCCTATGTTGCGAAGCCTCCATTTGGGGTAGCATTGGTTCGGATAGATGTGAGAAGACGTTGTGATCATTCTGTGAGGCTTTGGGCAGGCACATTGTTCCAGAAGCGCATGGCGCCGTTGCTTTTCTTGCAAAATCTTAACAACATCCAGTGTCGTACAGTGCATCCGTCAGTCCTTGAAAACGCCCTTACATGCTGAATGCTCTTTCATACTTGCTTCAATGCTCCATTTGATTTGTGGAATCTTAATTGCTTCTGTCCAGTATGTGTTGCTTTGTATTTATTCCGTTCTGAGCTGCAGAAGAAAGCCAAACTCCACATTAACCATTATAGACGGTGTTCAATCAGAGCTCGTCATATATGCAAGAACTATGGCGTCACCGGGATTGTTTGGAGTGGAAGTACTTGTTTAATACCTCTGGGTTCCCTGATTTTCTTTAGGGGGTATATATTCTGTCAGCAAGCCGTTTTGGCGTTTTGGCGCAACTAAGGGGTCGTGTTTGGGGGTGCAAGTTAATTTGTGGTGTTTCTCAAATTTTGAGCCTGAAGGGTGGTTGGTTTTCCAAAAAGGGACCCCTATTTTGCGAAGGCCGAAAGGACTACCCACAGCAAATGACACCCAACAAAACCTGAAGAAGCCTGTTGTTTTACACCCCTCCAACCTTGTTTTTGACCAGCTTTTGGCTGAACAAAAATCCAACAACAGGTTCAAGCATGCTGGGTCGGTGGGAAAAAAGAAATCTATGCGCCTTCCGAGGAATCCCTGGCGCAAGCCCGTCCCGGCTCTCAGCGAGAGCCGCCGCAGCTCCGGCAGCCAATTCGAGAGGCGGAGTCACTGCGCTTCGAAGAGGAAAACTCCACCGGGCTCCTTGAAAGATACTGCCCATTTGAAACATGGCTTTTTCCACCAAAATAGAGTGAAACCACCATTCATAAGGCAACGCGCAGGTGTATAATGCATCCGGATCCCTGTCCAAGGGCGTCCGGCAAAGGGAGCCAGGGTCTGGTGTTCACACGCATATCAACATAAATGCATGCATACAGAGTACGAGCAAGCAAGCAAGCAAACAAACGAGCATACACTCGTACATACACGCATGACTCTACACATACCTACCTTACATACACACACATACATACACACATGCACATTACCCACAAATACAAAACACATACAAGCACGTACATGCAGATACATACGCACACATGCACACCCACACATACACACATATACACACAGTTACACAGATACATAGTTGCATAGATACACAGATACATAGTTGCATGGATGCACCGATGCATAGACACATAAATACATGGATGCATACATAGATTCATGTATAAATACGTAGGTATGTAGATACGTAGATACAAAGATACATAGATGCATGGATTCCGGTATACATGGATACATGGATATATACATGGACATACATACACATTCATACTATGCATCCACATACACACACACACACATACGTACGAATACGTGCACATACATATATACACACATGCATGCATACATATATACGTAGACATACATATACATATGCACATACACAATCATATACATACATAGAGTCACATACATACATACATGCATAGATAAATCGATAGATCGATCGGTAGATAGATAGATAGATTAGATATATATATATATAGATAGATAGATAGATAGATAGACAGACAGATAGATAGATAGATGCATGCATAGATACATACATTCATACATAGATGCTCACATACACATTGAACATACATGCATGCGTATGTAGACATACGTACACGTACGTACACACACACATGCGTACATATACACATACACATGCACATACATGCGCAGATACGTGTACGTACGCACGTACATACATGCATACGTACGTACCTACGTACATACATCCCTGCCGAAGCCACGCCTTCCCCGAACCCTGGTTCGGACATACACATTTGTATATATATATATATATATGAATTTATATCTATATATATATATGTTCACATCTGTACGTACGTATGTACGTTGGCATGTACGTAAAAAATGGGTATGCACGTACGTAGGTATGTAGGTACGTAGGCAGGTATGCATGTATGCAAATACGTACGTAGGCACGTAAATCGGGTGGGTTGTTGTGTTGGTCGGTCGGTCAGTTGGACGGCTTGAGGTGGCTTGAGGGTGTCTCAGGGGTGTGAAGTTTTTTTAGATTACGTTACCTGAAATGCTTAACACGCATTTGCAGTTTTCCGTGATATATTGATTGTGGTCTTTGCATTGCTATTATTGTTATTTGCCTTTTTCAATGAGGCATTGTGAGGGATATGTGTGCAATTTGGGCAATGCGGTCAATACAATGCCAGGACAAGAGCTGCGCCTCTTGGGCCTTCTTGGAGAACACAACCCTCCCCCCATAATCTTGCAAGTTGTTGCTGTGTCCTTCGCGCGGTCGCAGTTCCTCTCTCCGAAGCCTTTAAAGAATTCAACAAGAATGATGGCTGACCATCAAAACGGAGATGGAATTCGATATGCGGGTGATCCACGTGGCTCAGAAAGAAGCAAGAGGCATAAACCTGGTTTCCGGGGGCTCAATGGAATGAACCAAGTGTGATACATGTGCCTCTTAGTGTAACGTTCAGCCGCAAAGCCGATAGCACCTGATTGATCGCAGTATTGACGACATGTGTTGATTGTGGAATGGGTGGTCTCCTCAGCGCCCGCTCTCATGGTTGTTCATTATTGGCGGGGGTTCTGGTCATGGACCCGTTCAGAGACCCGTAAGGATTCCTCAGGGAATAGCCATGGCCGGAGTCTGGACGAGATGGTGCAAAATTGGCAAGGGAATCCCTTTGACAGTGAAGTAGTCATGGGGATGGCTCGCTTCGGCACAGAAAGGGCTACTTCCCAGAAATGGAGAAGAATCTCAGCAGTCCGGCAACAGGTCAACATCCTCGCCCAGCGGAAGGAAGACGCTACGAAGGACTTCCTCCAACCGTAGCTGGCAGCCCTTGGAGGAGTCATGGGCTGACATCTTGTTTTCGTTGGGTTTGAGTTTCCTTGGATTTAGACAACATCTTGGATGCCCCAACTGTGGATTCGATCAATCCTTGTACTGCTTTGGCGCTCGTTTTTCAGGTTTTTTGATGGGCTTGCCGTTCTGGGGCTTCGGCAAGCTTCCGACGGGATGGCAAGCTTGATCTGAATCTGACCCAGAAGATGGGGCAAAAGTGCTGAGGGCATGGACTGCGCTGGCAGCATCCTTGCGACCGCGACCTGCGAGTCTTTGGCTGTGGATTCGAGTTGATTGTTTGCCCTCCCTGGAATCGGGGACGCAAGCAATCAGAGGGTTTTGGGAAGAAAGCTTTCTTTTGGGGAAGCCCCAAAACGTGCAACTCCATTGGAAGACGGTATGTTTCTATGGCAGTCGTGCTGTTGGCAGGTTAATCTTGCCGGATCAGTGTGCTTGCTCAGGTTCCACACCCGAATCTCAGTGCAGCTGTGTGGTCAGAAAACGACCCAGACCATGAATCATGGCAATTGCACCAAGGCCTTGTCTAATGGCCAAGCCATTGAAACATGGTCAAGAGGGTCGGAAGTTGGACGAATCCAACTCACCCGATCGGGTAGGGGATCAACCCCTGAAGGGTGCAGTGCCTTTGAGAGGGTGAAGCCCGAGTCCGTTTGTGGTCATATTGTTGGGCAACATGTGCTTCCGAATGGATGAACATCCATGGGAGTTTTTATTGACCTGGTGCGAAGTGGATTCCCCATCAGGGCTCAAGCTACTCAAGTCTACCCCTACTAACCATGATATGGGCATGAATCTTGATTAGGGACCCTTGGGGGGACATCAAACTTCGGTGCGGATTCATGTCCACCAACCACTTTTGAGGTATTTCCCTATTAGAACTCATAGCCATACTGTGGATGGACGAAATCCTGCATCACTTGGAGACCATGGTTGAAACCATTGTTTCTATTGGTATTTACTAGGGAATCGTCAGAAACCAGGGTTTATTGGGGTGCGCTTTCTGGATTTCGCAACCATCCACAGCATTACTTCTCACCCCTACCCCCCCGCGAAGCCTTGGCTCTGAAGCCTTGGCTCTGACGCCTTGGCCATCGCCTCGTTCGCGAGGACAGCAGCCGCCGCAGCTCGCTCCGCAGCGAGCGGCGGCACCAGACGGCGGCCCGCCGGAGCGATGAACGGAGGGAGTCCTCCAAGAGCTCTGTGCACCTGGAGGCCGGTCACCGAAACATCGCCTTGGATTTTTTTTTTTTGCGTTCGATTTGAAATCATGTGTTGAAGACAATGCGCTTCCATTGAATGTCTGGCATGAAAGCACAGGCCACCGCACGAGCAGCGCCGCAAGCAAGGGGGTTCTCTGGCCCGTGGTATTACACATGGTCCGCACTTTTGCTTCGTGACTGCCCCGACTTCCTCAAGGGAGTCCCTCTCACTCTCGCTCTCTCTCTGTCTCTCTCCCTTTGTTGCAGTTGGTTGAAGCAAAGCTGAGCACTTGGATCATACCTACCCAGACTGACGCAGGAGGAGTGTTTTGTCGTTGACCCGCCGGGCAACCTGGTGCCACGCAAATCACGAGATTCCCGTCGTTTCTCGAATCCAGTGCAGAACGCTAACAGTGTGCAGCCTGGCGTCACCCTGCACTGCAGGTGGGCCTCCTGATTGATATATGCGAAGTTGACGTTGCCAGACAAGGGACCGCACAAGGCTTTCCCTGCTTGACGTGCACAATTATATGCGCCATAGGCCGAGCCGGAGCACTGGCCACCAGAAGAAGTGTCGCTTTAGAGTGAGGGATCCAAACACAGGCTGACCACGCTGCACCGGTGTGCCGAAACAATGCGTGGTTTCATGGCGATAAAGCCTGGCACATGTCGAATCCATGGCCGAATTTTCAGATCTGGAAGTACTGCAGTCAACCAAATCATCTTGATCCAGCTTCACTGAAATGTTCAAAGCAGCTTCAGTTGGACTGACCTATTGCCATGGCTGGCCGCGAAAAACGGCACTAGCCACTAGAGCCAATAGCTCCATTGCTATTTGGCTCTGAAACATCGGGCTATGGCTCTCTTGCCATGCTTACCAAGAAAAGATGTGCTCTGTCTCTGCCTCCCCAAGACCTTTGCAGGTCTTTTATTTGGTACGGATGTTTCACCTTCGAACCTTTTATGGCCACAAAAACGGCCGGGGGTGAAGAACCGGGGTGTAATTGTCTCACTCCCGTCTCTGGACTTGAAACATCGGGCCTCACTCCGTGTCTGGACTTGAATCGGGACGATCATGTTAGTAAGGCCTTAAGTCCGTGTCGTGTTTTGCCTTTTTTTTTTTCTGAGGAACCCACTCAACACGTCGCCGTGTCCTTGCCTCGACTCGTGCAACAAAAAAGCCTCGACTCAGGAGGACATGCTGAGCAGGCGCGGCTCCGAGTTGCCGGACCGCAGCATCGAGCTTCAGGACTCCATCAACGAGGAGCCGCGGAATCCGCCGAGGGTTGGGAAGACGCCAGTGTTCTGGGCTGATGTTCCTGGACTTGATGCATGTTAAGACCGATCTAGTGGTAAGCCAGTTTGTTTGATTTTTTCTTCGCTCCACGCAGGAAGTGATGTTCAAGCCCATATGGCTCGGAACCGGTCAGAATTCGCACCAAAAAATTGGGCCACCAGAGGGTCCGTGAGGGCTCACACCCAATGGGGCGATTCTCAACTAGGTGGTTCCCAGCCATCCGGTTCCTTAGCTTTTTAGATCTTTTAGGGTTTAGTGGGGTTTTCCATTTCACCCCCAAGTTTGTTTGGGGAGTTACGTTTCTTGGCACAACACGAAGGCCCGGCCTGTTTGACACAATCCTTTAAGCGTGTCATCAAATGTGTAGGCTCCAAAAAGGCAGCGAGGCCAACGGGGCTTCAAATGTTGCCCCAGCGACTTGTGGCAGTTTGACGAGTGGAACATGTTGTCATAGCGGAAGCTGTCAGACGGGTGCCAGTCAAGGGATGTTCTTTTGTCTCAAGGTTTGCTTCAAACACGCTCGAACCGTTGGCATTGACCGTCATGACAATAAGACAAAACCTGTCTTGAGTCAATCCCCCTGCTGTTGAAGTGACTCTAGGAACAAGTAGACCTAGCAATTTCAGCTATGTTCAGGGGGCTCTGCTTGGGATTCTCTATGCCTGCACGACCACTTACTCGCCTGCAAAATCATTTGAAGCCCCGAAGATGGAATCTCTAAAAAATGACAGTTTTCTTGGTTCCATGTCGATTTGCCGGGGTTGGATAGGGCAGACAGTTTAGTTTTGAGGGTACACTTTCCAGGTTGGCTTGAAGGAAAATCAAAACGAAAGCCACCATGTTGGGGGCATCCCTATTTTGACATGCCCGTTTTCAACCATAGTCACGTTAGCAAAAGAAACGGTTTAGGCTTGTTTGGCAGTTTTGTTGGAAAGAAGGATCCCGGAGTTCAGAATGGTTGAAACCGAACCCTATACAATCAATTAGCACATGAAGCTCCAATTGTGGATTCCCCCCGCCATTTCCTGGTTGAAGTCTGTGCTAGCTGTTGTTGGGCATGCGAACTCAGTCAGTACCGATATGGCCTTGGTCAGCAGAAAATCGGCGGCACGCACGCTGGAATGAGCACCGGTCAATATCCAGCCTCACCGCACCCTTCGAAAATGCGGAGTTCAAATCCCATGGGACTGCTTGACCTTCATGCTATGGGCCGCTATAAGGGCGTGGTTTTTGATTCGGTTCGCGAGGAGATGGCCATGAGCAGCTTCAGCCGGCGCTCCTCCACCAAGAGCGAGCGCCGTGTGTCCATGGAGAGCCGGGCCTCGGAGAAGGATCCGATGCGATCGGAGCGCGCCGCCGGTCGGTGGTGTTTCTTTCTTGTTCTTTTCTCTCTTTTTTTTGGGGGGGGAAACACGGGGAATCAGGAAGCCCCAAGTGGTGGTTTGGATTGGTGGTTTGGATTTGGATTTGAACCCCTGCCCTTAACCACCCAGCGGTACGCTCAGGAAGACGTTTTTGAGGGTGTTCCAAAGCAAAAATCTCATAGTGATTTCGTCAAACAAAAAAATATAAAGCAAACTTGTGTCTGAAAAGCTGGGAACCCGAATAGTGGGGGGCCTCAAAAAATGAGACCCAAATGTACAAAATGGGCTGTTTCCTTTTGGTTTCCGTTAGCCATCCAACAGTGTTCCTTATTTGGAGCCGCATGGTTGTGGGACAGACTTTCAACAGGGTTCCGGTTAGGTTTGGATTGTGCTGTCGCTGGTTGGTTTTGCTGTCGCTTGTTGGTTTGAAAAATGTTGCCACTGTCTGAGGGGAATCCTCTTGAGGAGATGCCCCGGAGGGAGTTGTCCAAGACCTCCAACTTGGAGGCCGGCGCAAAGGGATTCCTGTTCGCCATTCTGGTGTTATTGGCAGACCCCCTGGCTCCATGGTTATGACCTAGGTCCCCCAGTAGTGCCCTTCTACCCTTTTTTGGTTGGGAGGGTTCCCCTACTACAATAGACTGCAGAACAAAGGGTACCAACTTATTCTAACCTCTCTACTGGAGAACCTCGTCACAAGGCCTATAGAAGCTTTGTTGCTGTGTTGGAACCAACGAGTCAATGTGTCTTCGGCGCAGCTCGAAACGAGCGGGGAAGGAGGGGGGAGGCTGAGACTTGTAAGGGTTTTGGGAATAGAGAGGCCCTGAAATAAAGCAACGAGGGATGGTTTACGCGGGTCATTCCCTCACTCCCTAAACTGATCACCATTTGGGAGGGACATGGGGAACTCACTAAGTTTTAATAGAAAAGTTAGAGGACTTGCACATGTCTCCATGTCCTTTTGGGGAAACTACTTTTGACCATGGCTCTTGTAGGCTCACCGGCATTCCTACATGGGTCTTGCAAGTCATCCGATCTTCGCGCTTTGCCTTTTTCTTCACATTTGGATGGGCAGATTGGCAATCGAAGACACTTTTATTATGTGGCACTCTTCAAGGCATTCGTTCTCTTACGATCCGGGCAAACGATTCCGAGCGGCGCTGGACACCGCATGCCTGCTTCAATTTGTTTTGGGACAAACTTGATCTACCGACATTTCAACTGGCCCATCTCATTCTTTCGACTCAACGCAGGGGACCGTTGCCCTGACTCTTTTTGGCGAGAAAGAACTTGTTTCTCTTCTCATGCCCGCTGGCAGCTTCTCGCATTTCCTTGCTTGCACAAACATGTGTTTTCCAGCCCTCTATAAATGTTGAGCAAGATTTAATATGACTGAAACTGGCCACCCTGCTTCGAACTGTGGCCATTAGGCACATTCTCCATGTGGTTTCAAAAGGTACTGGGGTTCAAATCTAAATCCAAGCCAGCAATCCAAACCGATGAAGGGCTATCTGAGCCACAATCAAAACCCGGGTAGAAGGTCACTAAGGCACAATCCCAGCCATGGGTGTGGCCGCCCTTTTAATTCTTTACATAGTTTACATAGTTCTGGGTAGACTATTTGACTGCCGAGGTGTTGACTCACCTGACGTCAATTGAGCTGCCCAGGACCGGAGGAACACCTCCAAGGGCAGCGTCATAAGCAGGAGCCGCACCAGCCTGGTCTTGGAGATCCCACAGGACCTGGGAGAGCAGAGACCAGAGACTGTGCTTGACAGACTCGACAAAAACAAACGAACTCAAACACTGAACCAATCAAAACATGAAGCAGGCACACACACGCACAAGCAAACAATCACGCAATCAATCAATGAAGCAAGCAACCAAGCAAGCAAACATACATACAACCAAGCGCACAGGACAGAAATCACACACACTTGTGGTACTTCCCAGAGGAAAGTAGTCTGATTCCGTCTGCATCTCTTCCGTCATCTTGCAGAGGCCTCTGACATATCTTTTGAAGTATGGGATCAGCCCGTAGCCACCCATGTTCATGCGACAAGCAAAGTCTGGTGAGCCAAAGCACACTTTGTGGTAGACCTAGCGCAGCTAGTCGAACTGTTTGCTGAGGAACTGAGACGGCATTTGTATTTGGGTTCAAGCAACACTCAGATCGCAACAGCATTGATGCATTGAGCGTTTTTGATGCTCAGACCAATCCATGTTTTTGGCAAGGGAAAAAGTGGTGATGTGTCCCGCGTTTTTCCCTGTCGGGCTTGGTTTCAACTTCCCATCCTGGCCTGTGTCTTCCTCATTCAATGCTGTTGCGGGACGATTGCGAACTGGAGGCAAAGACAAGCTGAGCGGAAGCAACAGCAAGAACAGCATCGCTTTCTCCGATTGGGGAACCAACAGCTGAAATCACACACATCTCCCTGCAGGTACACGTGGGTGATCAGCCCACGTTTCCCTCACCATACCATAGCTTCGTTGCGTCAGGTAGGTATGGCGAGCCTGACGCCCCTGCTGCAAACAAACCGGAAGCTGTATTGTTTTCGCGGGGGCCCCAACCAACGTCGTCGAACTGTTCAGACCCGAGAAAACGGAGGAAAACCGAAAAGAGGGGCCCTGTCAAACATGTTTGCAGATCCAACTTGCGCGGCTTCGCCGCTCCAATGAAAAACGGACGGGTGCGAGCATCGGACCTTAATGCCTATCTGTTTTGAGTGGGACTCCTAAACCAAACAACGTCGTCGAACTGTTCAAATCAAAAAGAAGAGAAACTAAACAGGAACGGGCCGGTCAGGCATGTCTCCGGACGCAATGTGCGTCGAATGTCTCTGCGACCAGACGTACACTCGCACACACACACACACCAACAAACTCACAACCATTCACACCCAATATCTCACACGTAAACAAGCACACACACACACAAATACACACAAGCACGCGTATGCACATACACACAAACAGACAAACACGCTAACACAAATAAGCAACTCAAACATACTCAAACAATTACAATTAAACAAGCGAACGAACAAACAAACAAGCAAACAAACAAACAAACACACAAACAAACACACAAACAAACAAAGCAAGCAGGCAAACAAGCAAACGCATAGTCAAATACATAATCAAACGGGCAAACAGTCAGATAGATAGATAGATAGTTATTTAGATAAAACGATGGATTGTTTTCAGATAGAAGCAATGACAATAGAACAATAAATCGACAATGGGATGGAACATAAATAGAACATGCAGACAAGAAAGGAGAATAGTTTCATCCGTACATAGATTTGTGAACATGTTATATTTACTTAAACAGATGTACTTCATCCTGCGAACGTCTTACGCCCATTACCACAGTATAGCTAACCTTTTAAACGTGTTATGCCTGCCACGAAATTGTTCCTAAACTTGCGATGAAAAACAAACAACACATTAAACAACCAAGCAAACATACAACTAAACAATCAAGTAAGCAAGAAAATAGTGAATCAATGAAACAACAAAACAATCAAACAAGCGAACATCCGCACAAACAGTCAAACAGACTAACTAACAGACTAACAAACCCACAAGCTCACCAGCAAAAACAAACTAACTAACTAACTAAGTAACAAACAACGCAAACAAACAGACAGAAAGACAGACAGGCAGGCAGACAGGCATACAGAAAGATAGACAAACAAACAAACAAGCAAACAAACAAATCAAACAGAAACAAACAAACAAGCCAGCGTGATAAAGCAAGCAAACAAACGCACAAACAAAAAATACACATTCAAACACAAACACATAAACACACAAACAATCAAACAAGCAAACGAATAATCAAACACACACACAAACAAACAAACACACGCGCACAAACAACCAAACAAATAAGCAACCAACCAACCAACCAACCAACCAAAGAAAGAAAGAAACAATCAATCAAACAAACAAACACACAAACCAAAAAATACACAAACAAACACAGACACACAAACACAAACAATCAAACAAGCAAACAAGCAAACAAATACTCAAAGATACACAAACAAACAATCAAACAAGCAAACAAGCAAACAAATACTCAAAGACACACAAACAAACAAGCAACCACACAAACAAACACAAACAAACACTTACACATACACAAACAAACAAACAAACAAACAAACAAACAAACACACAAACAAACAATCAAACACACAAACACACAGACACACAAACACGCAAACGCAATCACACAACCTCACACAAACAAAAAGACAAACAAACAAAGAAACAAAACAAACAAGCGAATAAACAAGCAATCAAACACACAGACAAACGAAAACAACCAAACACACAAACAAACACAAACACACAAACAAACAGTCACACAAGCAAGCAATCAAGCAAACAAGCAAACAAGCAAACCAACAAACAAAAACACTTTTTTAAAAAGAATAGTCAAACAAGCAAACAATGAATCAAAGAACTATCCAAACAACCGAGCAAACAATCAATCGAACAAAAACGAGCAAACACAAACACACAAACAAACAATCAAGCAAGCAAGCAAACAACAAACAAACGAACAAACAAACACACAGACACACACACACATTCGAGGACACATTGACAAATGCACAAACGCACAAACACACAACACAATAAGCACTTACAAGAAGAACAAACGAACGAACAAACGAGCAAGCAAGCAAACACACAATCAATCGATCAATCAAACAAGCAGACAAACAAACAAAGAAAACCACACAAACAAACCCGCAACCACCCTCACCAAACAGCGCGCACACATGCACACGTAAACACACAAGCACACACACATACAAACATAAAGAGACACAAACAGACAACTACACAAAGTAGTGAAACATACTCAAACAATCAAGCAAACAATCCAAGCGAGCAATCAATCCAGCAATCAAGTACGCACGCACGCACGCATGTGCGTCGCGCCTGCCAGGGGCGCCCTCGTGCGTGCCTGCGGGTATGCTGGGGCACCCCCTCGCATTTTTTCACCGGGCCGCACATCCACCCTGTGACCCACCCAAACACTGCCACTGTATCCACCCTTTTGGGTCTTGCGAGCAGTCTCTTTGCACCACCTTTCGAATTTTGAGCTGCGTGTGAAGTGCAAGTATGGAACTGTTTGTCTCGTGTGGTGGAATGACCGTTGCACATGTTCTCCTTGAAGGCCTCTCGATTTACCTTGCCAGGGCTGTGAGGACATGTTGTCGAGTGCTTGTTGTTCAATCGCAAACGCGTGTTGCTTTGAGCAGGCCGGGTTGTCACTGCAACATCGTTGCTCTTCCGAAAAGCAGGTTCAGCTGTCAAGTCGCAGTGGTTCATCCAACATCATATTATTTTCTAGTTGAATACAAATGTACACTTCTCTTCACAGGATGACGGCTGTGACATCGTGTCCACCAAGAGCAGTGAGGACTTCAGGCTGATCGCATGCCGGTACCAGCGTGAGTGGGCCTCGTGCTTGCAGTGATGTCACTTGCTCACTGCATGTGTGAGGTCGTCGCATCGGAGGTGTTTTGCCGGTGTTGTTTAAGTTGGTGTTTTTGAAGTTGGTAGCAAAACTGTCACGCAACTGCCGTGCCTGGATTCTGATTCTTGGAGTACGCTACAATGTATCCCCTTTGCAATACATGCAATGGATGAATAAAATACTTTGCATGATTGCATGGTGAAACTGTGTCAGAATACAGTGGTAGTGTTTAGAAACTCAAGGGCGGTGTTGTTCGCATGATATGATGCTTTCTGCTTGAGACCCTAACTTTATGATCCCTGTCCGTCGCACAAAGCTGCCAACAGCCAGATGTTGGCAGTTGACCATGAGAAATCAATCAAGACTTTGAGTGGCCAAAGAGAGGGGGCTCGACTTCGGCAACACGGTACGCAGTGGGTGCACAACGACTTTTTGGGCAATGCATCCTTTTTCGAGTCCTGTGCAATTGGGGTGATCATCATGCAGACAGCAATGCAAGCTGCATGGAGCTAGGTCGCCGTGTGTGAGCTCGAAAGAGGCAAGGGAATCCACGGTAAGCGATGGATCCTCTCACTCAACAGCTGTTTGTGTACTGCGAAAGTGGGGCAATAGCAGCTCCAAGATAGAGCGCAACAAATCCTCATGGGAAATGAATGAGCCCTTGTGGGGTTTCGTGTGAATTGCCGGGGAGTACATAGACAGTGCTTCCAGCAATCCTTCTGTCCGTTGTACCAGCAAAGATTTCCTCCTTTTTGGCGCAGGCAGAATCGGTCAGAGGATCAAAGTACCTGGGCCGCAACATGCTTTGTCGTGTCGGATTCAAACATCGCATATATCAAGTACTCTTGTCAAGCTTACAATGGTGCAGCTTTGTGGTTCTATCACCTCGTTGAAGAAGGCTTATGGTAAGGCCTATAGAATCCTCTATACCTGTTTACAAGCATTTTGGTAGAACCAAACGTCAGTGAGTGTTTGGCTCCGTGCAATTCTCGGGCCATGTTTTGTTTTTTTCATGACATGAAGTTGACCCAGAGAGTCAAGCGGTCATATTGCCACGAGTTTCGTCCGTTCTGCTGCGCCTTTGTTCGCAGTGGAAGACTATTTGAGCTGAAGAAAAGGGACCCTGCATGATGTGTGAGCTGGCACCCGGACAGTTCGTTCTACTTTGAACTTCCCAATGCAGTGCTCGGCCTCTCACTTCCGTGCCCTTTGGCCCTTTAGCCCTCGATCTAGAGCGCCAGTCCCATCGCCTGGTTCCTTGCCACATGCGTCTGCGTCCGTTTGGGATCCGTTCACATGCGTCCAAGCTTCGTGGGCACAAGCTTCGCAACGGACAGAGCTCGATTTATGGAATCTCGGGCACCTGTGTTTTGTTTGTTGGTGTGTGTGTGTGTGCGTGTTCGTATTGGTTTCCCTTTGAGCCAGCCCGGGAAAGGCCGCCTTCAACAGAAAAAGGCTCGCTGGCCTCGATCCGAGGCGAGAATGTTGTGACCAGAGTCAAGAGCCATGAAGGTCAGCATCTCAGTTGGTCGAAGCTTGGGCTGGCGTCTCGGTTTTGGACAATGTGGATCAGGTTGTTTTTTGCATCCCGTGCTTGGTATCAACTTGCAACAGAAATCGATTTGGGGATTGCCTGGTGCTTGTTCCAAGACACTGCAGGCTTCAGTGTCTACCACGACAACAGTCGCTTTGGGACCCAGGCAATCGCGGGGGCACAGGGCGGGCTGTAGCATGGACCAGCTTTGTGCTGCGTCATGGTTTGCAGGTATGCTTCGCACACGGAAACCTTTCTCTCTCCATCCTTTTTTTGAGAACCACTCGAATGCCCCCCCCGCAATGATGAACACCCTCTCCAGACCTGGTCGCCAGGACTGTTTCAGCAGTAGGTTATCACTCTTCTTCCAAAATGCAGGTAGCACGTTGTTCCTCGAATTCAGCAATTCAACAAGAGCGAGTGTGTGTGTGTGTGTGGGTGGGGGTGTGGGTGTGGGTGTGGGTGTGGGTGTGGGTGTGTGTGTGTGTGTGTGTGTGTGTGTGTGTGTGTGTGTGTGTGTGTGTGTTGTTTGTTTGTTTGTTTGTTTGTTTTTGTTTGTTTGTTTGTTTGTTTGTTTGTTTGTTTGTTTGTTTGTTTGTTTGTTTGTTTGTTTGTTTGTTTGTTTGTTTGTTTGTTTGTTTGTTTGTTTGTTTGTTTGTTTGTTTGTGTGTGTGTGTGTGTGTTTTTCAACTTGTTGTGGTTGGTTCACTTGAAACAGTTATGGAAACCCCCCATGATGGTGCCTGATGTTCCCAACGTCCCCTCGTGTCATGTGATTTCGCGTTCGCTCCTTTCACAGAAGGGCAGAACACCTACAAGAGATCTGCGGTTTACCCTTGTTAGAAGCCGCATACCCATTTGTAAGTCGCATAGGTGACTTAGGTGGGTCAGTGCGCAGGGTTACTTGAGCACTTTAAGTACTCTGCCCCTGTAGCCGCCATCTTACTAGCAGCACTTATCAGCTATCTAAGAACGACTTGTGGCTTGTAAGAATGGTTCTACCCGCGTGTGATACTCCATGGCTGCCAAGTATCCCACTAGTTTTCATGTTCCTACCAGGTTACCACTTCCTAAGTGGGTACAACCACAAACCAGACGTATCCAACCTTCCTTTAAGCACGAAGGGAAGACGGAACCATAAGCCCTTACCATCATAGTACCCTCGCTCAATATATTCCACACTTGCGTTTATTTCTGGGGCCCAGGGGTTACTACCCGCTTTGGTGCAACTGCCCGTTTCACTACCAAGGCTTGTTCACCGAACCACCTAATTACCTGAAGTCCCCACCATTCAGCATGTTACCCTCCGCCAGTACACTTTTCGATGGGCTCTGAACGAGTTGCTTCAGCGTGAGTTGACCTACCCTCCCACCAATCAACCTGGAACCTCACGCTTTCGGGGGATTCTGGTGCCCGCTTTCCTTTTAAAGAGACCGGGTCCCTGTCAGGTTCCATGTGGCCATGGGTCAAAATCCAAATCGTACATCCCAATCCCCACAAAAATCCCGACTAAAACGGGTGGTGCACCTTCCCCAACATGGGATCCCATTGGTTTTGACAACCACAGCCATGTAAATGGGTGGGTTCCTTTAGGCGGGGCCGTGACCGCCCGGCCCCTGGCAACCCTGGTGCGTGGAATGTCAGGTGGTGCGCCTGGAGCGGAACGCGCTCTTCGGAGAGCTGGCGCTCATGGGGGATCAGCCGCGGGCGGCCACCGCCAAATGCGTCTCGTCCTCGACGGAGGAAGTCCGGCAGTGGGTGGATGGTTTATCCCAGTTTTTGGACTTCATCCATCCCAACCGGGGCTGCAATTGTACATGGTGTTTATCCCAGTTCTCATATTTCATCCATCCCAACTGGTGGATTTGTCCATCCGCATTAGACCCCTCACTTGGCTAGTTGTTGCTGGTTGGGTTGAAGGGACGAGTACACGAGCAGGGATGGCCATTTCCCCACTTACCAACGGGCAAAAGAGCAAAATGGAGGTGTCCAATCACCAGTTAGATTGGGTTGGATCTTTAGCCTCTAACTTTGAGGGAAATGTGTGTTTTCCGCCAAGCAAAAGTTACAGTGCAGCCACAGCCACACGGGCGTGTCTTTGGAACTGGAATTCTGGTTCAACCACACTGACCTATAGGATACTCTTTGCACGAACATTTCCAGGTATGGGTTTTCCCCGAATTTATGCGTGGTACCCTCCCACCAAGTAACATGGAGCCTGACAGGGACCCGGTCCCCCTCAGGTTCCATGTTGATCGGGAGGGTATGGACAACAAAACCCATCCCCTGGCAGGTCTGGAGGACTGTGAGCTGCTGGTGATCGCTCGCCATGAGTTCGATAACTTGCTGAAGGCGGACCTGGACAAGCAGAAGGACGAGACCACAGGCGCCGTTTTTTTGTGTTCTTTGGATCGGATAAATTGATTTAACAAAACACGGGGCCCACGCGCTGCTCAGATACTGCTCCGAGTATGGCTTTATCTGGTTTCAAGGTACGGCTCCAGTCTGATTGAAGCTTGGGATTTTTGATCTTGATGCTTGGTCAACACGCGGTGTCGGGGCCACCTCGCAAGCGAAGCAGAAGCACCCCATCTAAGGAGCGGTCATTGGCTTCATCCCTTCTTGATCCTGCAGGGTTCTGATGGTGTTGTTGGGCCCAGAAAATACCGCGCTGGTGTGCCATAGGGATGGGCAAGACACTGGAGCGATGCCTGGTTGGCCTGCTATGTGCAGCTCTGGGAGGGGCAGAGAAAGTTGGGAGCCGCCAAGTTGCTCTGCAAAACGGAAGGGCGCTCCGTAAAGGTGGATGTCTCAGTTTCCACGTTTTATTCCAGGAACCCAAAAGGGGGGATGTATTCTGGAACTTTGTCTGGGCGAGTTCAAGACAGGATGCGCAGATGGAAGGTCGAGGCGTATCTTTTGCGCGACTGGCCAAGCCTTGGTTGTCCGAGATTTGGGAATGTGGGATACTGCGAAATCGCATGCATCGGGCCCCACTCCAACTCACATGTATTTGCATGATCACAGGCGCCATGGGCCCCCGAACAAAAACGGGCGAAGTGGCATAGGGGTTCCCCTTGCTTCACAGCTGCTCAGCTCAACAAACAAAGATAAGTTTAGTTTCATGGTGTGTGTGTGTGTGCTGTTTGAGGTTACAAGTTTCAGGCTGGTTCAAAGGGAATGAAAGGGAAAGCAACTCGCTTCCACTTTGTGCGCACCTTTGAACAGCGGCACAGATCGCAGCCGGGCCCTCCCGTGCGCGAGGCTTTCTCCGGCAGCACGTCCCCGGCATGAGCGACATTCCTGAGACCCTTGGAAAAGCGCAGGGCCAAGGCCTTGCAGGAGCCAAAATCAAAACCCCCGGGTAATTGGAGGGTGGGCACTGTTCCAGCCATAACTGGGTACACAGTTAAGCATGTTTTTGATACCAGGCTCTGAATTGTGACTCTCAGGCTTCTTCTTATGCAGGCGGTGAGGGGTGGCTTTGCTTCTTATCCAGTGTCGCAGTCTGTGGTGGCCTCACTAGATCTCCCAGCAAAAACCAGGGGACCCACTCCTTGTCCAATGTCCTTCAAAGGGTAACTTCCACCTGGTGGCAGCTTTGGACTCTCCGGTGTGGCTTGGGACGAAGTACCGTCTCCACCATTGCAACAGCCAGCTTTGCATGTGCTTGTCCTATGTTGATTCGGGGCTTTGGTCCGGCCACCACAAGTGATGGGCAACATGAGCTAAACGCTACCGTCGTGCCGGCCGAGGCGCTCTCGTGGAAGCGATGCTGGGTTTTTTCCCACAGCAAAGGGGGGCGATGTTGGTTCACAGCTTTTAATCCTGGGCGCTCAGCTGGAGATGCTGACGAGGTGGCAGGTGATTCGTCAAAGCAGCTTTCGCTAAACAGCTTCCGCAAAATCCACCGAGCAGTCGCCACGAGGACCCGAGCCCGCACTTAGCTCTCTGCAAGGGCAACGCATATGCCTCAAGCCCACTCCCGGCAAGACCAACTTCAAAGCAAGCTCCCAAAACCACCCGCTTCAACATGATTAGCACTTTTTACCGCTTTTTTCCGCACAAAGTTGCGCTCAAGCGTCACACAAATTCCCTGGTGAGGGGGAGGGATAGGGCCCTGCAGCAGTGTGTGCGGGGGCGAGGGGGTCATTTGTCTTTGTTGGTTTGGAAGGGAAGCTGGTCATGACTCGCATGACTCGCATCGTTTTAGAGACAGCTTAGACAAATAAAGGAGCGGTCATTTTTTCTCGACTATTTCATTCCTGTGTGTCATTCGGTCTTAGCCATGCCCGAAGCCGCCATTGGAACTCAGGCAAGCAGCGCCTTTTGAGAGGCAGGTGCTTTGGCAACGCGAATCGTGATCTAGAGGATCTAAGCCGAAGTGCCATCGACTCAGAAAAACTGAAAACGAGATCTGGATAGAAGGTTCGGCTTTGGCGAATGAGAAACCAACGGAGGGGCAATTCACAGAAGCGGGTGGGGAAACCCACGGTGAGTTTCTTCCAAGCGCTGGAGCCTTTGGTCCGGCGCACTGATTTTGTTCGTGGTCCACTCCCAAAAGCCCCAACTTACAACGGTGGGGGTGTCAAACTTACTTGGTGGCTCCCAGCCATCCCCTTAGCTCTTTAAAGCTTTTCAGGGTTGAGTGGGGTTTCCATTTAACACACAAGCTAAACTGTTAGCAGAGGATCTGAGGACAGATTAGGCGCCCTCTTTGGCATCCGGCTCCTTCAGCTGCGACACCGTCTCTCTGAGGAAGCCTCGGTTTGGCAAGCCACCGGCCTCCTACTACTTCAAGCACAGCAGCGTGGCCAAGGGCTATGTGTTCCTGAAGCAGGGGGAGAAGGTCACGGAGCCTTGGATATTTTAGTCAGCCGAAGGGGCCACGAACCGCAGATTCTTACAACTGGGATCAAGCATGGTGATGAGTGTTCCCTATGCCTCAGCTCGGGGATAGTAGGTAGCCCCTCCCCCCCCCCTTTGAGGGCCATAAGTGAGGACATCAGCAATTTCAAGTCTCCAGAACTGGGAACCCCACGCAGAACCCGCAGATCAACCAAAAAATGAGCGAAGATGGCTAGGAGTTTGAATAAGGGAGCCTCTGGAAAAGTGTTTGGTGGGCGTACATTCCCATGATGTCCACCAAGGGGTCCTCAACTAAAATTCACACCCACCTGAAATGTTGCGGGATTCTTGGGAGTTTGGGCCGCTCACTTTCTGACTTCATCGGCCTGATATTGATTGGTAGTCTACTGGTAGACTGGGGACGAGAAGGGAGGGCCCACCAAAATGGCCCTTCAAGCCCAGAGGGGGCTAACCTCATGTCAGTTGACCGAAAGTCAGCAACCTGTTGAGGGGGTAGCGGGCTGGGCCCATGTTTTTTCCAGATAACGACGTGTGGGTATGTGTGAAAGTAGGGGGACCCCAAGAAATCATCGTGGGTGTCCTTTCGATTTTTCACTGGAACCATAATCAAAACCCGGGTAAGTGAAGGTTTGTAATGGACAATCCCAACCAAAAATAGCTGCGGCCGCCTTTGTTGTAGTTCTTCACATGGTTCTGGGTGGACCATTTTAATACCGGGTTTTGATTGTGACTCACTTGAACCAAGCAGATAAAGGTACCCGGACCCATGTGGGCGCTTCAGGATCGCCTCTGGGTGCTGCAACATGGGGTGGTCGAGTTCTGGCACAGCGATCCACCCGAGGCCGAATGAGACGGCTTCGGGACAGCTTGTAAGGGTCTTCCATCTGGTCAAATGGGTATGGGTCAAAATTAAAACCACCAGGGGACCGCAGGTTTTACTCCATGTTTCCACTTGCCAGGGTTCCATTTTGGGTACCTATTTTTGACCCGCAGCCAAATGACGAGCTGGGACGAGCTCACCGATTCAAAAAAATGAAAGAAGAAAAAGAGCCCCATGCAAGTTCCGATTCCTGCATGATTCCCATCTAATGTGATTTGGAGTAATTTGCCCAGATAGATTTGACAAGGGATGCCAAAGGGACGGTCGCGCTCATGGCTTAGTTTGATGTTGAAGCATGCCATCATCCCATCCCAATGTTGCAACGGCCCTTACGGTAGATGAGACACATTCATTTTTTGACCAGGACTTGTTTTGGCTCTAATTAGCCAAGGGCCAGAGTTTTGTCCAAGCCAGTTACTTTGGATAAAAGTATCTTCCTTGGTTCTGCGGTGACGTCCCACATGCAGCTCAAGCGTCTTGGGGTAAGAAAAGCGACGATTGATTTTCGATGTTTCGGCATTTGCCTTAAACCAATGTGACAAAGCAGTGCCGTCAAATCTCAGGCCATGCATTACAAGGCCGATCTTTTCTCAAATAGACCGAGAGTCTGAAGAAAGGAGGCTGTGCTTCTGGTCGACCTTTATCCAAGGGCATCGTCTCACAATTCGCCATGCCCGCCGTTCTCGGCTCAGCAACGAGGGTCGGAATTCCGGCGCCACGCCTCGCGGCGCCAAGCGCCGCCAAGCCGGCGCCGCGCTGAGCGAGACGCGCGAGGCGCGCGACTTCGATGCCATGGTGATCTTAGACGATGGGCCGGCGGCCGACTTCGGGTCGCTGAGCGCCTTCCTGGGGGTGCCATCGCAGAAACTGGCGCCCAAAGTGGCCAAGGAGCCGGAGCCAAATGCCCGAGACTCTACGCTGCTGAACAAGAAGGTGGCCTTCAGGACAGAACGCCTGGGTGTGTGTGTGTGTGTGCGTGCGCGTGTTCTTCTGTATTTTTTTTATATTTTTCCCGATGGAACCCTTTTAGGGTTCGCTGAGCGGGGACACCAAAAGGAAAACCATCATTTTGGGGTCCCTAGGAAACAACACCTGGGAAAATCCTCCGAAGCCTTGGTAGCATTCTTCGCGGAACCGGAATAAAATCAACAACCTTTTGCGAGGTCATGTATTTGCACCAACAAGTCATGTTAACAACTACACTTGCTTCAATGACTTCTTGGTTGGGTTTTGACCTTTTGGTTTAAGGAAGTCCCCTTTTGAGAACCCGCTGCCTCCTCCCCCCAGACGCTCGGAGCGCCCAAGCCATTGACTCTTTGTTGCCAAGATGGCAATAAAGGTAGAACAGGTACAAGGGTCAAAACTCGCGAGGAAGAGGTCTTCTGTCAACCACCATGACATGACAACATGTTGATGTCACGCGTGTGGGGCAACGTGGGGCGTGAGGAACGATGCCCCTATTCACGTTTTTACAACCACAACTTTTAGGGGTCTCCATGTTTTTACATCCGGGTGTGAATTGAAATAGGGACCCCTTTCAAAAGTGGGCGGCCATCAATCCCCACCTAAATGCTGTCCACCAAAGGGTCCCCAATTAAAAAATAACGCCCAGGTGGGTCTGTCTTTTTGAGAGAACCTGTGTTGTTTTGTTTTTTGTTTGGAGGGGAAGTGAACGGGAAACCGCACGGAAAACCAGCATTTAGGAGGGGTCGCTCGTCGAAATGACCCATATGGCTGTGGGTCAAAACCAATGGTAATGTTATCACTCGATTATTCATATAACGGCGAATAATTAAAAGTGTTTTTCCTTATTCTGGTTCGCCCCCATTGTTGAGGGGTACCAGAATAACTGAAAGTTGTTTTGTTCGGGGGGGGGGGGGAAATTCAAAAAAAAAAAACACAAATCATTTTTATTTATTTATTTTTATTTTAATTTTATTTAAAAAAAAAAAAAAAAAAAAAAAACACATCCGCCCAAACAATCACCAAACATATGACTGTCAGTTGCTTTACTCAAAAGCATTCCCCTTTTAATTGGAGGCCCACTTACTTAAAAGCACTCCCCTTTCAATTGGCCGCCCACTTGCTTAAAAGCATTCCCCTTTTAATTGGTTGCTCAAACACAAAACCCAACGCCAGCTGAAACCTCTGAAAGTGAAATCCATCCCCAGCCCTGAAACTGCAAATTCTTTATTAAACCGCGTTTAAACAATGAAAGAAACAAAAAACAATCAGGACAAGGGTACCCCTCACAGACTCCACTGAACCACAACAATGGCATTCTTTTGGGGGACCACATTAGTTGCAAGCCCCCAGCCCCCTCCAGAAAATAAACTGTCAGTTGCTTTGCTCAAAAGCATTCCCTTTTAATTGGTGGCCCACTTACTTAAAAGCATTCCCCTTTCAATTGGAAAGCATTCCCCTTTCAATTGGCTTCTTTCTAGCTCAAGCCCTCCCTGGCTGAACGGCACACCCTTTGAATGGCTACTAACGTAATTAGTATTCCAAAAAGTATGCTCAGGAAGAAGTGGTTGCAATACTAAAGTAGTATTCCAACAAGCATGCTCAGGGAGAAGTGGTTGCAATACAAAAGTATAATTGCAAAAAGGAAGTGGCCGCAATACTAAAGTAGAATTGGGCCCTAAAATCCTCCATTGTTTGGACGTCCCAAAAGTGAGTCGACATTTTTCTGGCGCCTCCATTGTTCAGGGGCGGGCTGGGGGCCCTTTATTAATCAAGTTGTAACATTATCCCATTTTGGGGTAGGTGAATTCACCACCCATTCATTTAGGACCTATTTTAGTGGGGATTGGCATGTTCACTGGGGGCTAACCGATTTGGGGTTTTGACCCATGGCCATCTCGGCGTTGCGTCCTGAGGATGCTGAAGCAGCTGGGCTGCGAGGTGCGCCAGGAGGAAGAGGCGAGCTTCGTGGAAGTGTCGCTGGCACGTCAGCCGGTGCTCTTCAAGATGCAGACTGCCAGAAAGATCTACCGGTGTTTTGGTTTTCCCTCACAGAATTCTGCATTTAAGTGTTGCTTTCATTTAATTTTCCCTAACGGTATTCTGCATTTAAGCTTTGTTCTTCATTTTGGTGTTCCTTCTTTGGGTTCCTTTTTTGGTTTTCCGTTTGGGCGTTCCTCCTTCCCCTACGTGTTCGCATGTGATCTGCTTCTCCCGAACATGTCCCGCTAAGCGCGGTCCGTGAGGCTCGTGGAGCTGGGCCACGCGCCCCGCAAGGCCGAGGGCGAGCTGCTGGTGCGGGTCAAGGAGCAGCGCCCTCGGAAGCCCGAGGAGAGGCCGTTGGCCGCCGTTTTTCGGGCGACCGGCTTCGATAGGCGGACGGAATGAGCGAAACGGAAGGGACCCAAGGAGAAACCTCATCCCCGGAGTTTTGGTTGGGGTTTCCTTTAAAGGGAATATACTTCTATAAGATAAGGGTAGCTTAGGGACACTCGCAGGCAGTATGGATGTTTGCCCTTTCAGTTCTTGACATGGATTTGGGTAGACCTCTTTAATACCAGGTTTTGATTGCCACTCATTGGATTTGTGGGCTTCGGAATGGCCCAAGGCTCACTTGCGGCATGGCAGTCCTTAATCCCTCAGGGGCCCTACAAAACAACTCTTGAGGGCCCAGAACAAGTCCGGACCCTTAGGGTGGGGAGACTGGAGGCACAAAAGCTTCCTTGACCAACATCCATAGTCCTAGATCTGTTTGGTTGAAAACAGGAGTCCACTGGTTACGCTGTAATTGGATGTTCATTTGCCAGCGGAATCCATCTACCTGTTTTTTCCAGCAATCATGGAAGTGGACAGAGGACATTTTCAAGATGGCAGCCGCCCAAAACCCCTGTATCCACTTTCATGATTGTCGGAAAGGGTAGAAGCCCGATTTCTCACAACTAAAAATGACCTCTTGTTTGGTAAATCTCGACTGTCTAGGAACCCTTTTCAGCTCCCGTGTTTTGTCTCTTGGGTGTCACGGTGTCACACCTACCCACCTTCTTTCAATGGCGGCGCCCTTTCCCCTTTTTTGTTTGGAGCTTCCCACTAGAAACAGCTCCCACTTAAAAAAGAGCTCTTTCACTCAGAGACTCAGGGACCCAAAACGAGTTCTAGTAACGGCTTAGAATCCATTGAACAGGTGACCCAATCAAAACCCTCAGGGAAAACAAAAGCTTGCTCACACATAATTCAAAGTGCTCGATACATTCACCTGTCCAAACATTACAATACACTTCTTGACTGCTATTGGGTTGGATCTTTAGACTTTCACTTTTTGGGAAATCAAGGGGTTTTCCACTAACCCCCCAAGCAGTTCAGCTTTTTGCAGGGGGATCAACAGCAACCAAGACTATCCCTCCCTCGCAGGACCTCATCGCGTCTTTGTCCCAGCCCCGGAAGACCGAGGCGACGGAGGAGGGCTACCCGGTGGTAGGGCGGCCCCGGCTGAGGCCGGAAGACGCCCAGCAGCTGGTGGAGAGGCTCTACAAGGTGCCCAAGGAAGTGCCCAAGGAGAAGGCCGGAAGCTGGTTTACTAGGTCCCCCAGCTAGGTGCCCTTTTTAACCCCCTTTTTGGTGGGGGTTCCCCTACTAGAATAGACCACAGAAAAAAGGGTACCCTTATTCTAACCTCTCTACTGGAGGACCTAGTTTACAAAGAAACTGCGCAAACTTTGTGGTGAAGTAAGGTTGGGTCAATGTCCAGTCCATGTGGATCCGTTTGGGGAGGCAAAACTCAGTGCGCAACGTAAAGGCTGGAGCAATGTTGCGCTTTTCGCGGCGTTTAGACCGGCGCGGACCAAAGGCGTCCGCCTGGTTGAGTTGGATGGTGGCCCGGAGATCCGCGGAACTTGCTCGCGAAAACGGCACGGTGCTTTTAGCTTAGTTGCAGCCTCACATTTCTCAAAACAACAGCTTGAGGTACAACAATGTAGTACCAGAGCACTTGCTTCCAAACA